TAAGCTTTGTGCTTACGGTTTTATGTTTATGGTTTCAGGTACTTCTGGTACAAAAGAGAAGGGTCCGGCATGACTGCATTGCATCCACCCATGTTTCTGCAACTTTATGATTTTGGGATTATACTCTGATAACTGTTTTTACCTTGTTACAATTTTGAATGATTGGAAATGTTAAATGGTGTTTATGGTTGAATTAAAAATGAAATTTTTACATTTCCATTTTTGGGACGTTATAGTTAGTGCTTACCGATAGAGCTTATCTATAGAACACCAACAAACTCCAAAATATAACAAATTTGATGCTATTTTTTGGTTCCGTTGGTTATTACCGGCGTAAAAATTCCGTCCATAATTTTTTTAGGGATATAATTTAGGTGATGGTTGAGAACCAGATTTCTTTGGATTGTGTATATTCACTTTCCGAATTGATATATATCCACCCTATGTTTGGGTTACATGAAATCCAGTCTAAGATAATCCAAAAGGGCACTTGTGTATATAGGCACAGAAATACAAGCAAAATCGTCAGAGAATTCGTAGAACTCGTTTAGAAGAAGACGAGTTGAGAAGGGTTCTATCTGTATACTGCTCAAATGAGGAGACGTATATATGCATGGTAGATTAGGCTTAATCTTTTAAATTAGTTAGGAAAATCACAAAATTAATGCATTAATCAATGGTTACCAAAACTGACAAGATTTTTCAAACTTACCATAATCACCCACTAGAATTCGGATTTTCTATAATGAAACTAATTCAAATTTCTGAAGACAATTGGGGCGCTGCCCCAAATCCTGTGAGGGTGCTTCCCGTCGACCGCGCTAGGGGCGCTGCTCATAGGACCCTGCAAGGGGGCGCGACCCCTTTGACCCACGTCTTTCTGTCGTACCGACTTATAGATGGATCTTATATATGCATTCACTCCACATTCACCAAACATATAATATAAAGTACAGAAAATAAGCCCATTAGCTTATATTTTAGTTTCAATTACATAAAATATCACGTGACACTAAAATCATCATCATAATTTCCGTAGTAAGAGCATCTTCAATGGTTACACTATAAATAAGTACCACATCACAATTCCATTAATTTCGACCTCTACAAAAAATACTACTCCAATGGTTAAGCTTGTTAACTAGTTTTTTTGATAAATTTAATTAATTTACCCTTATCTTTCTAAAATTTTTTGTAAAATTTTTTTATTTAGTTAGTCTATTTATTTAACAAAAATAATTATTGAATACGAACATATAAATATCGGTTCATTATTAATGTAAGTAAAACACGAAACATTATTATGCTATAGTTACAAAAACAAAATAAAAACTTTGAAAATATTATATTATCGTCATAAAAGTTATATTTTATAAATAAGATGTTATTAATATTTAATAAGAATAATTAAATAGTAAAGAAAAAATATATTTAAAACTAAGTTATAATGAAAAGGCTAAATTGAAATATTGGAACTGGAAAGAATGGTTAAACTCGATTTGCAACAGAAGACGAAAACTAGGTGGATATGTGATGGAGACGAAAACACTTGATATTTTCAAGGTATACTCAAGAATAAAAACAGGAAGTGCATAATCCATGCATGGTCTTTCCATCAATGATGCTTGGATCTCGAACCCTCCTGAAATCAAATCAAAAGTGTGCAGATTCTTTGCAGAAAAATTTTGCGAGCACTTGCCTGTAAGGCCAAAATTTATTAGCCCAGATTTCAAAATACTCTCTATAGATCAAAAGCAATTTATGGAGTCCCCCTTCCCTATCGAAGAAATCAAGAGTGTTGTGTTGTGTTGTGATGGGTAAAAAACACCCGGTCCAGACGGCTTCTCTTTCAAACTCATCAAATCTAAATGGGATTTAATGAAAGATGATATTGTTCGATATGTCAGACATTTCGAAAGTTCTGGATCAATCGCAAAAGGCTGCAATTCATCCTTTATAACCTTAATTCCAAAGGTCTCCGACCCGCTCGACCTTGGTGATTACAGGCCCATTAGCTTGATTGGGTGTATGTATAAGATTGTAGCGAAATTACTTGCACTACGCTTAAAACAGGTTGTTGGCTCTGTGGTGAATGAAGTTCAATCGACTTATATTGAAGGTATAAACATACTGGATGACCCTCTGATCATGAATGAAATCCAATCTTGGGCAAAAAAAAAATCAAAAAGAAGAATTTTCTATTCAATGTAGATTTCGAAAAAGCGTTCGATTTTATCAATTGGCAATACCTGAACTCTATCATGGAACAAATAGATTTCGGTCACTAATGGAGGAGCTGGATAATGGGTTGCTTTTCCTCTTCCCGGGTCTCTGTCCTAGTCAACGGGCCGCCCCGTGAAGAATTCTCCATCACCAAAGGTGTTCGTCAAGGAGACCCACTTTCACCGTTTCTTTTCATCATTGAGATGGAAGGATTGAATATTGCTATCAAGAGTGCCTGTGATAAAACACTGATTTGGGGTTTAAAATTGCCTTTGATTGTCCCTACCTTGTCTCATCTATTTTATACGGATGATGCGATTTTTGTAGGAAATTGGGATCGACCAAGCCTCAAGAATTTGTCTGCAATTTTAAAATGTTTCCACATAGCTTCTGGTTTGAAAGTCAACTTCATGAAGTCCTATTTCTATGGTTTAGGAACTTCAACTGCTGAGCAACATGATATGGCAAGAATTTTGGCATGCTCAGTTGGCACCTTCCCGTTCACATACCTTGGGGTGCCGGTCGGGGCTAATATGAATTTATTAAAGCATTGGAAACCAATTATTAATAAATTCAAGTCCAAGCTCTCAGATTGGAAAGCAAAAGCACTCTTGTTTGGTGGTCATATCACGCTAATCAAATCAGTTCTGAATAGTCTCCCAACATATTACATGTCCCTCTTCAAAGCTCCATAAGGTATCATTGATGAATTGGAAAACATTAAAAGGAAATTTCTTTGGGTGGAGGGGAGGTAAAAAACAAGATTCATTCGGTTGACTGGTCCAAAATCACCGCCCCAATTGAGGATGGCGGACTGGGGGTGTCGACCCTTAAAGCATATAATCTTGCCCTCTTGATTAAATGGTGGTGGCGACTGATGAATGATCAAAGGAGCCTTTGGAAAGATGTGATTTCCAACATTCACAATCTAAGCAACAAGCCTGAAAATTACATTGCTAGGAAAACTTCCACTGGAGTTTGCCATAATCTTTCCAATACGGTAATGGCTCTTGGTTCTGTGAACATCGACACTCAACGAATCTTCAAACTCATTCCAGGTTCAGGTGTTAAAATTCTGTTCTGGAAGGATGTTTGGTGTGGAACAACCACTTTCCAACAAAGATTTCTGTAACATCCCGATTTCTAGGAATGAGATTTCAGGGATTTCCAGGCAAATAAGAAAGCCTACTCGACGAGTTGGAGGCCCCAACTCGTTGTGTAGAGATTAGTTATCCTACGTGAATTTCAGGATCTACTCGACGATTTGGAGGGACCAACTCGACGAGTAGGAGTTAGAAAGTGAAAACCCTAATTTTTAGGGTTTGCACCCTATTTAAAGATCCTTAACTTCTCTCCTCAGCCTCAGTTCCCATCTTCACGACCAAAAAAGAACCCTTAACGATCCAGCCTCTATTTTTGAGTGTGTGAGGTTAAAAGAGAGTGTGTTTGGAGCATTTCTTGAAGAGTCAAGAGCTTGGAACAAGGAAGAGCTTGTAGATCCGGCCTTTCCATTGTTGTGGCAGCAAGATTGAGGTATAAAGCTACCGCCTTGACATTTCATTGCTTAGATCTTCCCTTGTGAAAGAAAATGGTCATTTCTACGGCAAAATGGAGTCACTTTCAGGTTTGAGCTTGTCACCGGGACATGGTTTCAGATCTGGACTCCTCTAGGCCCCCATAGTCATAAAGCTCTAGTCTTTAGCAAGTTATGGCCTTCTCCTAACCTAAAACCTTTCCCTTAGCTTGGTTTTGGCATTTAGGACCATGCATGTATGTAAAGTTTTCAGCTTTACGTGGAAACCATGCCCTAAGAGGTTAGATCTGCAATATGGAGCTTTGGGGCGGCTTCAAAACGCCTGGATGAGAAATGGACTGAATGGACTCGACGAGTCGCATAGCCGACTCGACGAGTCGGATGAAGATTGCATTTATTGATTCTGCATGAACTCGGCGAGTCAGTAAGAGGACTCGATGAGTCAGTTAGGGTTTTCCCCAACAATTAGACATGCATGGACTCGGCGAGTTGGTGGGAAACTCGGCGAGTCAATTAGGGTTTTTATGATTTCCTGAGTTCTTAAGGAACTCGATGAGTTGCTAGCTGCACTCGACGAGTTGGGTCAACATGGACTGTTGACTTTGACCGTTGACTTTGACTTTGACCAAGGGTTAACCAGTTGGACTTTTGAGGGTATTTTGGTAATTTGGGATTTTGATGGACTTGGTCCATGGTGGTTATAGGTGGTTGAGTTCGTGACGGTGATTCGGGAGCTTGATTCTTTCAGTTCAGTTCGACATTGTGAGGTGAGTTGTCCTCACTATACTCCAGGGTCTAAGGCGCCAAGGCCGACCCTATTGATTGTTATCCGAATTTGTTGCTGTTGTGATATGATTAGATCGCACTACAAATAAAATGACATTTAGTGGCACAGAAAAAGTGTGACTTTAAGACCCCCAGGCAATCAGCGGCACAAAAAAAAAAGTGCCACTAAAAGCGCTGCCACTAAAGACCTTTAGTGGCACTTTTTGGTTGTGCCGCTGCTGCCTAATTGGGTTTTAGCAGCACTTTTCAATTATGCCACTAAATTACTTGTAGGTTTTAATGACACTATTTTTATGCCACTATTTAATTGAAAAAATAATTATTATTTCCATGCTTTAATGGCATTTTTTTAACACAAAAAAATTATATTAATAAATTAGATCCTAATTTTTTATTTTAAATGGAATATAATATAATAATATGAATTAAGATAATAAACAAAAACAAACTATCATTACACCAATTCAAACTTGTCTAAAAACAATATTTTCAATACATTTAAATCACAACCATCTTCAAAAAAAAAATATGTCTAAATGTTTTCCAAGTACTCAAAACATAATACTATTGAACTAAAAACTTGTTGGAAAGAAACACGAAACTTGAATGACCTCGAACTTTGTATACTTGCTTCTCTCGTTCATCCAACTTACAAACAATTGCCTATCATACATAATACACCATATAAAAACTTGTAAAATATCACCAATAAGCATGACAAATAAAAAAAAGCGTACACACTTAGTTTACCGAGTTAAAGGTAATTACCATTTTTATGGTTGCTTTCAGATGAGGCTCTTCGATTTCCTAAAGGAGAGTTATTAGAAACCACAAAAAAATTATCAGGAACCAAAATAAATTCATAATAATAATAATGTCACTAATATAAAAAGAAGCGTCACACTTAGTTGTCGATTTTTATGAAATACACTACTATAAATGAGAATAAATACAAGCATATTCCATAAAGAATGTCCATAACGTCAAAAGAACTGACTTTTATGAAGTACACTACTATAAATGAGCATAAATATAAGCATATTCCATAAAGTATGTTCAAAATGTCAAAAGACCATTTTTATGAAGTAAAACACTATAAATGAGCATAAATACAAGCATATTGTAGAAAGTGATCAAAATGTCAAAATAACTGATTTTAATGAAGTACACTACTATAAATGAGCATATATACAAGCATATTCTAGAATGTATGTTCAAAATGTCAAAGGAACAGATTTTATGAACTGCACTGCTATAAATGAGCATAAATACAAGCATATTCTAGAATGTATGTTCCAAAAGTTAAAAAAAAAGTATTTTTATACAGTACATTGCAATAAATGAGTATAGATTCAAACGTTTTCCAAAAACCATCTTTAAATCTCATAAATTGTTGCTATAAATGAACATAATTTCAAACATTTTCCAAAAACAGTTGATGGTTATACTTTAAAAAGGTATCAGAAAGGCATTTATAAAGTTAAGAGTACAATGTTATAGTAACATTATAAGTTGAGAAATTACATTCTTCTTTAGTAGACTGTTGATCCATAATCTGTTGATATTGGTTGGGATCTTGGTTAATGAAATAAGTAACTTCATTGCCTGGTAATTATTGCATAGAGTTAAAAAAAACAAAAAAAAAGGAGCAAATTCTGTATAACAATATGTTAACTAAAAAAACATAAGTTACCTCAACAAATTGTGGTCTATGGAAGTGTAAAAAAAAGAAACCAACGCAAGCAGCAGCATGGTACCAAGGCACACGGGCAAATTCGATTTTACAGGCCAAAAAGGGGTAAATAACATAACCATGTGAAATCAGGAAGTGATTCTGAAAATTAGAAATCTGATTTAAGTGATTAAAGGAACTACCTCAAAAAATAAGAAATCTAAGGGCATTCCATTTCCAATGATTGTTGCTATGAAATAATGAAATCAGATGCAAAGTATTAGAACAAAAGTTGTAAACCCTAAAATCTAATAATTTGAGAAGAAGCAGAGTATTAGAACTAAAATTGTAAACCCGAGAACACAAATTTCAATGAAAAAACTGAAAATCAGATAACAAATAATAATTGATACCATGTATAACTTTTTTCGGCGATGCTCGAACCTGGAAGGGGATGAGGGCATAGTTCCAGACACAAACTCTACAGGAATTTCATCACATAATTGATATCGTGTATAACTTTTTGAATATGGTTATCATTCACGTAAAAGAGTTATGTAAACGTGATTAGGGAAAGTGGAAGGAGGATACCTTCGGACTCTTTAGCGAAGGGAAACTGAATCGACGATGGCTGGGTAGAACATGGAGGCAAGCAGCGGTGGCAAGTTGCAAAGGTTGACCGGCGACGGTTTGAAGGTTATACCGAGGATACATGGTGACGGCGATGGCTATGGATATTAGGGATTAAGGGCATGGGTGGGAGATGATGGAAATTGGGAGCGTAGGAGATAGTTCAGCGTATAAAGTTAAAATTTTAGTCGGGGGGTTTTAGATAGGAGGGAAACAAATCGGGTTTTTGTAAATTTTAGGGAAAATAGTTTCCCGCTGGAAAAAAAAGGAGGGTTTTTAATTCACATTTTCCGTTTTTTTTCATATTTTATACAAATTTAAATTAAATATAACATATTATTTATAAAAATTATAATACTTTTATGACAGTAATAATTATGAAAACAGTATCATAAAATTAATAATGCCACTAAAAATAGGTTCTTAGTGTCATAAGATATAAAGTGCCACTGTATCTTTAAAACTTATAGTGACACAAAACAAAAGTGCCACTAAAAGTAGGCTATAGTGGCACAAAAGCAAAATGCCACTAAAACTTTGTGCCACTAAATGTAATTTTATTTGTAGTGTTGGTATCTTGGTAGATAGGATGGCTATATGCTGTTATGATATGTTAGATCGGTATCCTGGTAGATGGAATGGTTATATGTTGTTATGATCTGTTAGATCGGTATCCTGGCAGATAGGATGTTACTATGCCTAGTGACCTGTAGTTCGGTCTGACTGTCGGTTTATTGTTAGGTGATTACCTGTTATATGTGCACATGATTGGTTGGTAGTTGAGGGTATTCCATCCTGAGGATGATTGGACCCTAGTATGTTGTCTCTGTAGACTGTTATATGATTATCTGATATAGGTGCACATGCTTGATAGTATGTGGGTATTCCAACCCGATGGTTGTGAGCCAAGAGTATTCCATCACGAGGATGATTGGACTCATAGTATGTCGGCATTCCAACCCGATAGTTGTAGGCCGAGAGTATTCCATCCCTAGGATGATTGGACTCATAGTATGTGGGCATTCCAACCCGATGGTTGTGGTCCGAGAGCATTCCATCCCAAGGATGATTGGGCTCGTAGTATATTAGCATTCCAACCAGATGGTTGAGGGCCTGGGGGGTATTCCAACCCGATGGTTGATTGGACCCATAGTATATTGGCATCCCAACCCGATGGTCAAGGGCCTGAGGTATTCCAACTTGATGGTTGATTGGACCCATAGTACGTTGTTTGCTATTATATGTGTATTGTTGTGTATGGGTATTTTGGGGTAACTCACTAAGCCTTTGAGCATAACAATTTATCGATTATTGTTTCAGGTACTTCGGATGACCGCAGGAAGGCGAAGGCATGACCGTACACTTCCTCGATTTATGATTGTGGTTTCTGGGAAAACTCTGATGTTTAAACTATTTTGAAAACAAATTGTAATAACTTAATGGTTTTAAATGTTTGAAAAACTTTTAAATTGGCTTAAATTTTACGGATGTTACCATTTCCTCACTTATATGCACTTGAAACGACCAAAAGTTGCTCTGTGGGTGATCGTATATATGTTTTGGGTTTTTCTTGGGCGTGGAAACAGGAACCAGATAACCACCTGGAACTACACAAACTGTTACAACTCTATAAGGACATCGGTGACTTAGACATTGATGATGCTCCAACGCCTCATGGATAGATGGGAGGTATCAAGTTAATTGCATGAGGCGTCTTATAGACTCTAAGTTAATCGCATACAAAGGTCCTACTATATATTAGTCAAAGCTTATACCCCTTAAAGTGTGGTCCTTTGTGTGGCGTGTTGTGTTGGATAGAATCACGATGGCAGAATCATTGTTGCTTAGGGGTATGCAAGTTCCCAATCAGCTTTGCCCTCTATGTAATAAAACTTTGGAGTCGGTGGAACACCTCTTCATCAGTTGTGAATTTGCTTGGACGGTCCACTTTTGGATCAGCAAATGGTGTGGGGTACAAGACAAAATCTTCTCTGTTATATTGGATCTGCTAGATATGGAGTCGTTTTGGGGCACCTGTCAAAAGAAGAAATCTATTGGTAACACTATTATGTATTATTTAATCTGGCGTATCTGCCTTGCGAGGAATGAGAAGATTTTTAAGAATATAAAAGGCAAATCCAACTAGCGTGGCTGATAACATTATAGCCACCTCATATTCATGGTGTAATCACAGGAGCAATCATGGGTGTGGAAGCTCGACTAATTGGAGCTACTCGCCATTTGAACACCTAAAACTCTAATTATTTTTGTTTTGCCTGCAATTTACCTTTCTTCATTGTAAGCTTGGGAGCGATCATGTTCCTTGTTGATCGTGTTTACTCCTTTTATTAATCTATTTGCTTTTTCCAATATATATATATATATATATATATATATATATATATATATATATATATATATATATATATATATATATAGGGAAACGATCAAATGAGAACACCTAAAAGGTTGAGAACGCGAGAACAGTTCTGGACCAATCAATATATAAGGGCATATTAGTAATTGTATATTTTAATTAAATTAAAATAAAATAAAATCAATCAAAAATCCCTTAAATTTAGTTACAGTTACCAAAAAAGAAGGAAATATTTGATTTTTTATTTTTCTTATTAATGAAATATAAATAACATTTTTATCAAAAAAAAATTTTAAAACTAAAAAAATTTAATTTTTTTTTCTTAAAAAATAATTTTTTTCTCCTATTTCACGTTTTTTTTTCCGAAAAAATTAATAGAAATCTGACCCCCAATCAATACATTTGTATTCATAAACGATTTTTTTTTTCAAAAAAACTAATACTACTACAATCACAAAATGAATACATATCAATTTACAAGTAATCCAATTCCTTTCTTTTAATCAACCGAAAATAAAAGGGGTGTAAAAATTATCATTTCTTCATAAAAGAATACATTTAATCATAAATAAATACATTTATTCACATATGATTACACTGCCATTTACAAATGAATACATTGTTATTAACAAATGAATACCCTGGTATTCACAAATGAATAAAAGACTACATCTAATCATAAATAAATACACTCATTCACACATGATTATACTGTTATTTACAAATGAATACATTGTTATTAACAAATGAATACTCTGCTATTCACAAATGAATACCTCTCTCACGCATTTCATCAAACAGCCCAATCCTCCCAGATACAAAGCCAATGAACCCGATGTCAAATACGCCCTCCACACCACACAACGCCAATAAAGACAAATAATCCTCAATTTCAATTAATTATCGATTGCAATTGATAATCTTCAAAAGGCAATTCTGGAAATGCAACAAAAAAATGCTCCAGTTGTTGATTTTTGTTGTTGTCGCTTCTCAAAATTCAAACCACACAACGCCAACAAAGACAATCCTCAATTTCAATTAATTTTTTTGTTGACCTGGTGGATGGAAACGAGAAATCAGAAGCTTAGAAAGGAAGCTTATTAATTGAATTTATGTTAAAATGACAATCAAGGAAATCTTACAAGGGCTTATTATCAATCGACATTATGAACTTGGACAACAGAAATACGAAATTGATTTAACTCGAACCTTTTTCCGGCCACCTCCGGTTGAGCTCCGCCGTTTCCCTCTTTGGTGGTCAGTGTTGCCGCCATCGGCGACTACCCTGCTCTTATTTCTGTTCTCGTGACCACACAGCAACACAGGGAGATTGAGAACCCATGTGCGTTCGATTTATTCCCTCTGTATCTCGATTTCCTTCAACCAAATTACCTCAAATTGTGTTTGATGCTTCGAATCCACTCTCGTCTCCTCGTCTCAGATCCTCGTCTCTTCTGATTTTTAAGACCACACACACCCACCCAAAACGCAATTAGTGTTTTGTTGTTTTATCCGGAATTTTAATTGTACGATGGTCGACGATGGAGGATGGCAGAAGATGATGAACGAAAACAGTGGTGAAGAAGGTGGGGGTGTGCGGCCGATTTTTTCAAAATAATTAGATTAGGGTTTTCTAGTTAAGTAGAGAGAGAGAGAGAGAGAGAGAGAGAGAGAGAGAGAAATTATAGGAATTTCTATTTAATTAAATTATATGGATTTCCTATTGTACCATTTTTGCCATTTCAAAGTTACATATTTAACACATCAGTTTTATAAATATTCATAAATGGTCCAGTTGATAATAGTCATAGATCTAATTATTTATAAGGTTGTGATATGTTCTCGCGTTCTCAACCATTTAGGTGTTCTCATTTGATCCTACTCCTATATATATATATATATATATATATATATATATATATATATATATATATATATATATATATATATATATATATATATATATATATATATATATATATATATATATATATATATATATAGAAAGGGTTATATGTTGAAGTTAGTGTTTATTTTTAAAAAAATGCATAGTATATAAAAAAACATTCCAATTGGAGATGCTCTAATGTCTTACCTTTCCTAATAGTGTAATTTAAGTTAACCTGACAAGATATTTCTCATACGTCCGACCTCAATATATAGTATTTTAAATCATTAATTACCATATAATATGAGGAAAACCCTATAGCGCTCTTGGTTCTTAGTGAAGACCGAAGACTGAAGACCCTTGTGTTAGTTATAAATAAATACATGAGACTAAAATCGTAAATATTTGCTATTCGGGAGCAAAAGAAAATATCGATAATTAAAGTTTTTGCTAAGGTACGTAGTCGAATCTCCTTTTCCCTCAAATTTTCTTTCTGGAATTCTTGCTTATTTGTAAAAACCTATCATATCACTTGGTTGTTTCAATAATGAACACAATACATTTCTGAAACTTTGAGACTTCTGCTAACGATCTCTGCGAGGAGCATAATTGGTTCTTTAAATAGGTCAAAGTAAACGTACAGGCATGTATTTTGAACAAATTACTCGCTAGCTAGTTTCCTCATGGAACTTATATCAAATTGGGATTAGATCCCACGTCACTGATCGAGTTCAGAAATCGATGAGGCTTCTACATATATCGTTTCTTATATAATCATTTCTTATTTTGGTTTTTGTGTTTGCAGAAAGACATCATTTTTAAATTTGCAATGTCTTTGCAAAGTGTTTAAATTGTGAGAAAATAATATTTCCAGTTTTGTAAAACTTGTCTCTTCAATCGTTTGTCAAAACATAAAGTCTGGAACTCTTTTGTGACTAACTGATTTGAGTTATTTGGATCTAAATCTAGGAATTTTTTGGATTAGAAAAGATGATCTGATTATAGAATTTCAGTTATTTTGCATATTTGTATTTTTTAATTACGCCGATATCAGAAGTTGAGACATTCTGGTTTATTTTCCATTTTAACAAAGAAGTCTGATCGAGCATGCAATTTCATTTTCACAAGTATAATTAAGTTTGCTTTGAACCTGTAAGCGAATAACTTCATTTCTAGTAAATTAGTTTACTTTTGAATATCTATGTATTTGTGTGTGTGTGTGTGTGTTTGTATCCAAAATATAACATCGGATCTGAGTTTTTTTCTTATTTGTCTAACCTATAAAAAAAAGTATTAGAACATTTGAAGTTAGTTTACAATTCAAGTTGGAAGTTAGTATTTGAACTCTAGGTTTTTTTTTTTTGAACATCAAGAACGTTTGAGATAAAAGGCTAGCATGTAGCTAGCTCGAGATACATAGAATTGATACATTCCCTTTTCTGGTGGCTACATTTTTGACAATTAAGATTTACACCATTTCTTCTAATTTTTAACCAGTTGAAGACTGATCTGTATCTAGGTTTGTTTATCTGAAATCAAAATAAGATTCATACTTCTGATCCAATAGAAAGCATAATTAATTAATGATGTTTCCAAAAAATCTTGGCCAAAAATATTCTGCAGCGCAGCATAGACAAGAAATATTTTGACATTTTATTGTTGATCAATGATCAGTGTGGTCACTAAGATTGTTAATACATTCAGAAGCCCACCAATATCCTTCAGCAGCCTGTCATGCATTGAGCGAGACCATTGTTGACATAAGATATAAAAGATTTTTGCATATATATGCTTAATTTTGGAACATGCTTATTGACATATATATTTTCCAAAAAATGTGTTGGCATGTTATAATCGTGACTCTTTGAATTGTGAAACTTTACTTTAGTAATAGCATAGATATTGTTTTCATATTTTCATTGAGTTGTGCCTGATCGCAATGTTTTTATTAATAAGTTGCTAAAGCATTTAGTCACAAATCATGGACATTTTTATCTCATATATATACGCACATTCTTTTAAGCGTGCATGTTAATTACTGGTCTAAGTAAACCAAACAGATTTTTCAATGGATGGTAATTAACATTGTTAAGCTGGATATGAATAGTTGAATACAGAAATCATTATTGTAAAAAAAACAACTAATCATAAAAATTCTTATTTGCTTAGAACTTTGTACATCGATCTATCTAACGAGCTAGTGTCTCTTTGTTGCAGAAACTTCATACCATTTCCGTGTGTAATTTACTAATATAAACTTATCAAGATAAGCCAAAGACAGTTATAATGGATATTCCATCCACCGTATGGCAGCCTGACCTGGTAAGAGTTGCTAGTTCTTGATTTAGAAATGACTGGTATATTTTATAGCCTTCAAAAACCCTTTCTAGCTATGTTAATGTATTTAATTATCTTGCATTATAGTGTAGATGTAGCAGATACCAATTTGTTTTTTATTTACTAATGAGTCCAACACACCTCAGAGTTTAATTACGTACCATAGAACCAAATTCTAGACAGCTGAGTCTATCGCTTGTGAATTAATAATATATATACACACCTATGGAGGAGCAAAAATCGAGGGAATTATTTGATGGGAGACAAAATATATATGCTTCTAATGAACAAGCCACATATATGGATTTTGAGAACTTATTGAGATAATAAACTTCTAATGTGATTTTTTTAACAGCAACTAAGTAAAAACATGAAACTGTGATTTTATAAATGTGATATAATATCGTGGTTAATGTTTCCATTACACAAAAAAAGAATATTTACAATTAACTGTATCCATTCATCATTTTCGTCGTTAATCTACAATTTGATTTCATCATTATTATTTTTTTTTCATCATTAATGATAAGTACTTCAGTTATTAATTATTCCTGTTCTATTATTTTGGTAGTATTTGACGTAAAAAAGAAGCTTTAGAATCTGTTCTAAAAAAGACAAAATGACATTCATATCCCCTTAAAATCTACAAAAATCTACAAAGATCCTTAAAATCAATGTTACAACAACTAAAAACAATCTAGCTAATTGGTAAACTTCATTAATAACGATAAAGATTTTGTTGAGTAACCAATAAAATGAAATAAATAATAATCTACAAAAGGAATAAAAAGAAAAGATAAAGTTTTTCACATACCACGTGATCACATGCAAAAGTTTCGGAGAAATCATCAACAAGAATTGATTGGATCGCAAAGGCAGAAACTACGTACTGAGACCATGCATGTCGTGATTCGAAATAAAAGTACTTTCCTCGTAATCAATAAATATCCTGGGTACCCACAATGTGATGTTTTTCAAACACCAAAAACAATCACTTAAATATATAGTATTAAATTCAATATTTTCTTGGTTGCTTCAAAAAAAAAAAAAAAATTCGAACAGAAACAATATCTTTAGAAAAACGCTAGCGGGAAGCTACCAATAACTTCAAGATTATTTGAGCTTGAAGTACCATCAATTAACTTCAGCAGTGAGTTAACCAGGAGCCATGGACTATATGGTATACATGATAATAATATTAATTGATGTAGATGTGATTTCATGATTACCTTTTGTCAGTTTATAAACATATGCCAAAGGCTACTTTCGTAATTTAACATAGAAGGGCATTATTGTCATTTTGTAACTCAACAGCCTAGCCTAGCCTAGCACTGACGCTTTCCCCTTTCTCATTCTTAATCAATGAAAAAAAAGATTCAGCCAAATCTCTTTCTGATCTAACGATAACATGGTATCAGCTTAGATCCATCCTCTTTTTTTCCGCAATTCTTCGATTCACTTCAATTTTCTTAAGCGAATTTGTTCAAACATGTCTGATCTTTACAGTAGAACTTGTGGAAGAATTACCTAAGATAGATATGATTGTCTTTGTTAATATGACAAATTCATTAATCTACCCTTCAACTCGCCATAACCTGTTATATCAAAACTATTTTTATTTTTATTTTGTCTGAAATGTTTCTACGTTGCATGATAGGAAATGGAAGAGCCTTGTCACATCATGAACCCGCATCAACAAACATGTCCTTATTATACTGATTCGTTTTCATCAGAAAGCTTCAAAGATCATCCCAATTTGGTCTCAGTAAACCAGTCTATTCCACTAGCCTCCATTAATGGAGATCCAGACAAAAAAGAAGATCATAAGGCAGCTGAAAGTAGCCCTTTTGCCCCAAACTACAGTTCCTTATCCAGCACTTTCACTATATCTTTTGGAAACCCTACATCACCAGAAGATATTAAACCATATCAACCCTATGGAGGATCCAAATTCAATAATTACCCTGACGTAATGACGCCTAAAGAGGAAACAAGTCTCAATGAATTTCTTGGATCTATTGAGCTTACCAGAAGGGTTCAGACCACAAGAAGAAATCATAGACAAGCTCAAGAACATGTCTTGTCAGAGAGAAAGAGAAGAGAGAAGTTGGCTCAACGCTTCATGTCCTTATCTGCTCTCCTTCCTGGAGTTAAAAAGGTACAAAGTTACATACTATTGCAAGCTTTAGTTTCAATATGGAAAGAAATTTAGATTGTACAAGATTTGATATTAAAACTTCTTGAAGTTTAATATATCTGAGTACTCCCATAACATATACCCTAATTTACAGCCACAATAAACTCAGCTAGCTACCTCGGAAAGATAAATGACTTATTACCTCTGATCAGCAAACTCCAAACCAATTCGTTCTTTATGAATGCAACTTAGGGATCATATATCATGTATACTGATTCACTAATTTTGACACACTGTAAAATTAAAACTAGGTTTATATTTCAGCTAATGATATCCAGGATGACAATCTCAGTTTGTATGTATTGTTGCTAATTACCCATTATCGTAGATGGAGAAGGCTACTGTGTTGGAAGATGCAAGTAAGTACATAATACAACTTCAAACCCGTGTAAAGGAACTAGAAGGAACAATTAGCGGAAAAGATAACATCCATGAATCAAATGTTTCCATAACGAGATCCAGGTTTTATGTTAATCATGGAGACCATGGAGCTTCTTCCCATGAAATGGAAGACTTCCCTAGCAGCGGCACTTATGACCCTGAGATCAAAGCAAGAATTTCTGGACGAAACATACTTTTAAGAATCTACTGCGGGAAAAATTTGTCGATAGTTTTAAAAACTTTAACGGAGATGGAGAGACTTCATATCACCAACATTTGTTGCAGCATTCTTCCCTTCTCCAACACTGCCAATCTAGTTACAATCACTGCTCAGGTATGTGATTAGTATATGGTTAATTACTATGAAACCTATATATTGTTGATTATGTGACTCGAATTTTAGTAACCAAAAGAATAACAAAGTGAAGAAAACCCTAATTAATGGCGATTCTCAAAGTGATAAGTGTTTGGAGTAACCTGAAGGCCAAAGCCGTAATGACAAACACTTAATTATGCCAATGGGGGTGCATGAGGGGGTGGAGTCCCTTATGGATTCGGCCTATGGTTGTTAGGTTTATGGTTATAATTCTCGGTAGTTAAGGATTCAATTGTAATCATTTTGAAACAATCTGGTATAAGAATAATTATTTAGTTTTTGTTCTGGACTTAGGTCACATCTACTGAACCATGTTAATTCTTTGTGTCGTTTAATTGCTTTGTTTTGCTATCTTAGGTAACACCTATATATTGGAAATAATAGTTTAGATGAACATATTTTCGGTTAGTTTCTTAATTTATATAACTTATGGTTAAAATTTTGGGTTATGATTTTCTTGGTGTCTTTTGCAGATGAGTGATCAGATGGTCATAACCAGGAGGTATTTTGTGAAATGCCTACAATCAGCTCTTTGTAATTTTCGTTGACATGTACTTAATTAAGCTAAAAATTTACGGTACATCTGACCCTCCTTTGATGTACCCTCCTTTTATCTTGTATTAATTATTTGTTGAATATAATGTTGTATAATTTTTAAATGGGTTTGATAGATTATTAGTTTACATTCAGCACGATTTTGGGACATTGGCTTTCCGAACTTGTTTTCTTTTGAATAATAAAACATTTTTATTAAGCCGAGACTAGTGAGGAGCTATAGCATGTAAATGAGGATTTTTTAACCGACCAACCAACTAACGTATATTAAACAACAATTTACATCTACTTGAAATCCAAGAATAGGATATAATGGCAATCTCATTGAATATATAATGACGCCTTTCTCTGTCCGATCTACATTGAATATAATAACATTACCCCAATACATCCAAACCATCCATGCAATAGTGACCATGAGAGCATCTAACCATCATTTATTAACTAGTGTTTAAAGAATCCACCAAATCTAACAAAAATGATATTTCTATAGGGATTTGATCGAATTCCCATACCATAATTTGATGTTTTTATATCAACAGCAAGAAGCAAAAAGATTTTTCACTATAATTAAAACATAGCTAGCAAGAGGCTAGAGTCAGAAGTAATTGTGGCAATATGTATGAGGGTTGATACACCGGTTTGACCGGCTACAATATTTAGCATAATTTTACCTTTGACCATAGTTCCTTCATAACCGAACACAAACAAAAATACATACTCATGTCTTAATCTTTGTCCCACAAATTGGGCAACAGAAAGAATGAGTATTAACACATATTTGAATCCAATTCATGTTGAGTTATGGAATCTGATTCTCCATTTGACCTGATAGGCAGACCAAACAAAGTCAGACTAAGCCAGATTTATTAGAGTTTTTGTGCATTGCTCTATTGACATATTTTACATCTCCTGATTGTGTGAACTATATTATGTGCTCTTGTTTTTGTTTGCATTATTAATTTGTGTGTGAAATTGTTTGTGGGCTGTTGAAATGTTTAACTCTAATAATTAAACGGCAGACTTGCCAACATATCTAAATCAATTCTATAACCAAGAATGATCACTTTAATTTATCGAATCATAATTATTCCATCTAGTTTAACCATTATATATAACCAAAGTACAATCAATATATATATATATATATATATATATATATATATATATATATATATATATATATATATATATATATATATATATATATATATCTTAATTCAAATCTTCTTTATCCCAAAGAGATATTGAATATAAGGGGGTATTCTATAACATCCGAGTTTCGATTGCCTTTTTCCATTCCTTGTTTAATGGTTTTAGTAATCCAATAGCAAGTCGAAGCGATAAGCGAGACATGAAGAATTAATTGTATCAAAGTGGAGATTAGCTTAGCCGCGACGGGCCTAGGAGGGTTTGTGTGTTATAGAGTTATATGGCTCGTGTTGTGTTTGACAAGTGTTGGGAAGGATGTTGACTAGGTTCCTGCAGGTTGGTGGGATGGTGATTGTGTATTTATAGGCCCACTGAGGTGCTAGTCGAGAGTCTTCTTGTATGTGGTTGGATGATGGCAAGAGTAGCATAGAACTGTCAGCTTTCCATTCCAGTGAGTGGATGGTGTCACGATGTATCGTGAACCATCATGGATATAACTTATGTGAGTTGGACCTAGTAGGTGATAAGTTTGGTTTGGAAATTATTAGGATGTTGACTTGTTTGAAAAGTCATTGTCGTATATCAGTAGTTCGTTGTTGAGTTTCTTTATAGTGGATCCATGTCTATTTTATGAGAATCGTTTCGTATGAGTTAACTTATCAGTGATGGACTTCGTAGTGGGTCCCTTTGATGATCTATCAGGTTGTTATGCACCTAAGCCAATAAGCCATGATGAAGTCTGGACGTAACAAGAGATTTTTCTTCGTCCATTGTTGTGCTCGTGGGAGTGGTGAGTTAGTGAGGAAGACATATTTACTTTTGAGGTCACTCAATCATGAATTTCTAGAGTGGAGATTGGTTTGGTTGTTATGGTCAGAACATTTTGTGTGTTCGTGTGTAATGTCCCAAAAATAGTAGTAAAATTTTCATTTTTAAAATATCAAATCCGTATAGCTATTTGTTTAAAACCAATCAGAGAAAAATGTGTTTTTTAAACATCAGAGTAATGCAATAACATTCGGTGCGGAAAAGCCATCAGGGGATATTGTACAGTCAAGTCGAGCTCTTCCCTTTGGAGCTGGAAGTACCTGAAAATGTTTACACCACAAACCATAAACACAAAGCTCAGTGAGTTCCCCAAAATACTACATACCATATATATTAACGGGTCAATCCCAACATATCAATGGGCCTAATCCAACATACAAATGGGCCCAACCCAACATATCAATGGGCCCAACCCAACATGCAAATGGGCCCAGCCCAACATACATATCAAAGGGCCCAACCTAACAACCAATGCAAGTGTAACAGCCCAAAAATCCAAGGTAAAATTTTCATTTTTATTATAGTCCAAACACTAATATAACTTTTGATCAAACATTAAAAAGCATTTCGAATAAAACAATTATCATAGTTCATTACCAGGAATCACATATTGCGGAAAACACGGGTGTATGCACTGCGATCGTCCCGAACTCTCTCATTTGAAAACTGGAGTACCTGAAACATAAACTGAAAACCATAAGCACAAATCTTAGTGAGTTCCCCAAATACCACATACCATACATATCAACCAAGCCATACATGTCATACATAATCGTGAACCATACATGTCATCCATATACCATAATCAATAAGAGTGCTATGTGCCAACCATAGTCTTGCCATTATGCCACGAGCCGCCTCGTGGTCTTTCTTGCCAGGTCGGGGGCCACACCCTGGGTCTTACAGACAAGTGCCAAGAGCCACCTCTTGGTCTTCCATGAAAGCATCACAAAGACAACTAGCATACAAACTATACTACTTAACTAATTAGTTGCCAGAGTTCAGATTTTGGTCTTGCATACAGTGTGCCAGGAGCCGCCTCCTGGTCTTTCATACATAAAGCCAAGGGCTAACCCCCGGGTCTTCCTACAATACATAAACCAAATGGGTCGGCATTGGTGCCTTCGACCCTTACAACATTGAGGACACTCACCTCGAATGCAGAAGCTCCCTGAAATAAATCCCTAACTGCAGTCCTGACAACGCCTCCGATCTATCATATCAAAATAACAACAGGTAAACATTTAGATTCCATTCCCAGGCCTACTAACCATACTTAGGGGAAATTGACCATTTTACCCCTAACCCCAAACAAGAACCAAAACTGAGGCCCAACTCCCATAACCAAAAAGGCCCAAAACCAAAAGATCCACAAAGGCCCGCTAATGGCCCAATTTTCTAAATTGGGCCCAATCCCATATGGGTCTTATCCTAAGCCCAGATTTTCCTTGAATACAATTCATATTATCTCAAACACCCCTTGGGACAAACTTGGTCAAAAACATAAGTCAAAAGTCAAAGTCAACGCTCCGAGTTGACTCAACTCGCCAAGTTGCCCCAATAATCAACAGAATCGCGAAAAGTCGATCCAACTCGCCAAGTTCACCCATGAACTTGCCGAGTTTCCTATTTATACAGCAGAATCGGGAAAAAATCATTCCAACTCGCCGAGTTCACCCATGAACTCGCCGAGTTCACCCATGAACTCGCCGAGTTCTTCAGTTAGCAAAACCTCTTAATCAATTAAGTCGCCATTCCCGAAACTAAAGGCCCCACCACTCAGATCTCAACTGAAATAACGCCTGGAAGGGTAAAGTTTCCAACTTTACCCTTAAGAACCATTCTAATGGGTCAAAAACCCAAACCCTAAGCTTAAGAGGTCAAGGGCTTAATCATTAATCACCAAATCATCAAGACAAAGCTCATGGATGCAGATCTGGACCTTAAAGGCTGAAAGGTCATGTAAAGTTTCCAACTTTACTCTCATGTAAGGCTAGAAGAAGCTCAAAAGATCAAAAGAGGCCAAAATAAGGTCTTAATGGATACATGGAGCCTTTAAGACCATAAAGTTGGCACCTTTATGCCACAAGAGCTCCCAAGAACCATGGATCTGAAAGAATAACTCCTTTAGGACGACCAACACCCCCATCAACCACTCAAGCTTGGCTAATCCATGGAAACTAGCCCTAACAAGGATATCTAAGCATATAATAAGCAAGGTTGAGACTTTATACCCGAACAATGTTGGAAATGGAGAAAGGAATCGAGATCTGAAAGCTCCTTCTTGAATCCCCACCTTGCACTAAGATCCTCTTCCTTCAATAAGCTTCAAACACCCTGAAATGCACTCAAAATGGGCTCACAACACTCAAGGAGGCTTTAGGGTTTCGAGATTAGGGTAAGGGGCAATGGAGGCTGGAAATGAGGCCAACACCTAGGACTTAAGGTGCTTAAATAGGGTGCAAAACCCCAAAATTAGGGTTTCTCAAATAACGTCCAACTCGTCGAGTTGGCCTTCACCAACTCGTCGAGTTGATCCTCAAAAATGCGCGTGCCAAAGACCTCAAACACGTCGAGTTTCCTTCCCTAAACTCGACGAGTTGGCCTTTAGCATGGATGATTTATTTCCATAATTACCTTCTAGATTCTGGGCGTTACAGCAAGAGTCACAAAGAAAGCTAGCATCCTATACAATATAGTGAGAAAACTCAGCCGACTCACGAAATTAGCTAAACCCCAGCTCAATGCTACGCAACTGTTGCTACAACTCATCTATCAAAACATACAAGGTCCAACCTTAGCCTATACCCTAAATCCTGCAATTTGACCAAAAGTCAACCATACTAAAAAGTCAACGGTCAAAGTCCGCGTCAACAACCAATAATACCAACAATTAAACCTCACGCCGTGACCGACCCTTAGTCACGTCGTGAGAATACACTCGACCCGATTCCAAACTCGGTCACATGCTAACTTATCCAACTCGGTTACTGATAGCCCAACAGCAGACATCACGTCGTGAACCTTCCTTGGTCATGCCGTGAATGCATCAGGACAAGATAATCGTGGAAGCCTCCATCGTCACGTCGTGATATCCTCTATGTCATGTCGTGACCATATTCTGAGGCAACAACTTAATGGTGTGAGCCCT